TTTTAAATGAACTTATAAGCAAGACTTGACTGCATATACTGTGTACGGAATAAATAACTGCAAGAAAACAGAGATGTCTTAAAAATCAAATTAGTATTTTTGGCAAGTGCAGCCAATCTAAGAGTGATTGTGTTAATAAGGTTAATTACAGGCAATAATAAGGAAAAATGAAATAGTTCCTAGGGTAAATAATGTCAGGTTAGGTTGTGAGAGTAGACAACATTTTGGAAACAGTCACACCTAGGGCAGATTACAGATGTACTATGTCTAATTAAATATACACAAATAACCCGCACATAGAAGAGAGGAGCTTACGACGACGTTTTGGTCTGACTTGGACCGAAACGTCGTTGTAAGCTCCTCTCTTCTATGTGCAGGTTATTTGTGTATCGTTCCAGTCACGGTATTGTGCCCTTTTTTTGTTATCTAATTAAATATGTTTACACATATACAAATTTGACAAAATACTAGAGTACAGTTAAAAATTAGACAGAACAAAGAATTAGTGCATACACTAATTCGACAATTATACCATTTTCACACCAGTTTGATATTGCTGTTTCTTAATAACTTAATGACCTTATTACTGGACTGTTTTCAACAGCTGACATTTATCACTTATAATCACCCACTGACAAGTATGGCCCTGGTTTAGTAGAAATTTGTACAAAAAAATGGTATATTTATAAGTGTATCTATTTTCATAAGTTATTTACTAACGTCAACAATGCTTAAAACATTTTCTATATATCTTGTACCCACCAGGAATCTTTGGTTTAGAAGGGTAGTTTTGTGAAGATTTCCTAATACATACTGCAACTATTGGTATCTTCATATGCAAACATTGCAACCAATGGTATCTTCTGTTAATACTGCAACCATGGTATCTTAATGTGCAAGCATTAGTATGTCCTTCTGCAAACACTGGTATGTTCATGAGCAAGAATTGGTATCTTCGTGTGCAAACATTGGTATTTTCACAAGAAAACATAGTTATTTTCAGGAGTAAACACTGCAATCCATCAGTATCTTCAAGTGCAAACATTGGTATACCTGGAGAGGGTTTCAGGGATTAATACCCCCCATGGCTCAATCTGTGACCAGGTCTCCTAGTGGATCAGGGTCTGGTCAACCAGGCTATTACTGCTGACCACACACAGACCGACATATGAACCATAGCCCAGCTGATCAGGTAGTGACTTTAGGTGCCTGTCCAATGCTGTCTTGAAGACAGCCAGAGGTTTATTGGCAATCCCCCTTATGTATGATGGGAGGCAAGTGAACAGTCTTGGGTCCCTAACACTTATTATGTTGTCTCTTAGTGTACTGGTGGCACCCGTTTTCATTGGGGAGGCTGTTGCATCTCACGCAGAGTCTTTCATTTTCGTAGGGGGTGATTTTCATGTGCAGGCTTGGGACCAGTCCTTCTAGGAGTTTCCAAGTGTATATTATCAAGTATCTTTCTCACCTGCATTCCAGGGAATACAAATCAAGGGACTTCAACTGTTCCTAGTAGTTTAGGTGCTTTATCATATTTATGCATGCCGTGAAAGTTCTCTGTGCACTCTCCAGGTCTGCAATTTCGTTTGCCTTGAAAGGGGCCATTAGTGTACAGCAATATTCCAGCCTAGAGAGAACAAGTGATTTGAAGACAATCATCATGGGCTTGGCATCCGAAGTTTAAAAGGTTCTCATTATCCATCCTATTATTTTCTAGCAGAATTAACCCTTTGACTGTTGCAACCCCAAATCCTGAGGTGTCTCCTGGTGTTGCAAAATCCCCCCTCCCCCCCCCCCCCAAAAAAAAATAATTTTTTCTTATGAAATGATAGAGAATCTTTTTCAGATTGTAATGACACCAAAAGAACAAAATTTGATGGAATTATGCTCTTGCAAAGTTAGTGACCTCGGTGATATTTATGAATCTGCAATTTCACCCACTTTGAGCCCTATTTTCGGCTAATTCCATTGTTCCAGTCAACCAACCTCATAGCTATTTCTTTAGAACTCAATTTTTTCTACTGATTGAGTACAAGAGACTGCCCATTTACCGATTTCAACTACCCAATAACGTGGTCAGAAATTTGCAATTTGGCCAATTTCACGAAAATTAAAAAATATGATAATTTCAAAATACGGTCCAGAATGAACAATGCAGACATTCCTGGCTCTAAAATAAGATTTTCTTTGTTCATCAGTCATGTCTCCAGGCCCCTCTGATATTACTCTTGCTGTCTATTTTGAATTTTTATTCAAACAAAAAATAGAAGATTTACTGTTATGCAGACTACTGCAATATTGCAATAATTGTATAAATAATGTAAACCCATTCATGAGTGCATATTAGAATGGCTACTTGGACATTTATTGGAAAATGACATCATTTGTTTACTTTTGAACAGTGGCAAAAATCAAACATTTCCCCTACTTTGAGCTCCATTTCAAGGTTCTTTTCATAGAAAAACCAATCAAAATCACCTTATTTCTATAACATGTTTTCCATTCTATCAAATGAGACCAAGAAAACGAGAATACAACCATCATAAATACTAAACGAAAATAGACCACGAAGTCAGCATTTCAATTAAAAAAAAAATAGTTGGAGTTTTCTTTTTCTCATTATGCACTGCTTGCTGCAGGATTCTTTTTATATGGTGCACACTGACCACACAGACCCATTCTCTCACATGTCGGCCTACCAGCTTTCTCCTGCTTGATTTGAAGCCGCTAGAATTTATGAGTATACATACGTCAAAAACGGTGGCTCATAAGACATATATATATGACCAACAGTCAAAGGGTTAATAGAAATATTGTTGTGATCTTCCAAAGTAAAATCCTCTGACATTATCACTTCCAGATCCTTCACATTAGTTTTTCGCTCTATTGTGTGATTGGAATATGTTTTATACTCCAATACAATTTTAATTTCCTCAGGTTTTCCATATCAGAGTAATTAAAATTAAAATGTCTTTCATGGACTGACGGGTATGCAATTCTTCTTCTTGTAATTTATTGCTGGGTGAAATAAATTACAAGAAGAAGAAGAGTTGCATACTCCTGTTGGCATGTGGGTGTGGCAATTCTTGGAATGATGAAAACTGCATGTCCCATCTGTTTTTCCAGATAATCCATGCCTGCAGATACCCAAGGCATAGAATTTGCATAGATTGGATTTTTGTTTGCCAGGATTTTTTGTATCTGTGTTCCCTACTGGTGTAATTTTTTCGTTTCCCCATTATATATGGCCCCTGTACTCACATCAGTGCCTCCACCATTTTTTTCTGGTTATGTATTAACGCAATTCCCCGAAGCATCATCCCCTTTTATTCTATCTCCTTTGTAACTCTGTAATTTGTATAACTTTGTTATACAAATTCCAAAGTAACAAATTCAGCAGGGCCACTATCTCCATTTGGTGGACTGTCCTCCAGGACAGCACCAGCACCATCTGGTGCACTGTTTTTCTTGTCTGTATTCTTACGGGTACTGTCCAACAAGACAGCCCCAGCTGACCCACTCCTTTTATTTTCTTAGCTGTTATACAAGACTGTCATGTTTTCCAAAAAGGATATTTTTTTGTTGGTGTTCCTGTCTTGTAGTATAGATGTAATTTTCTCCCACAGGTGCCTCTCACTTAAGCAGACCCAAAAACATTATCCTGATTTAATATCAATAGTGGTTGATTTCTTAAAGTCCAAACACAACCCATGGGATCCTTTTCCACAGAGACTGCATGCAATCCAAGTGAGACTTCACCTCTTACTCTTGCTGCAGATTACACAGATTTTCATGATGTAATATATACTGTAGTTTGATATATATAGTTTTTATAGATTTTTTTACAGTTACAGTGTCCCATACATCAAACTAGTGTAAAGGTCTAGTATAAATATATTATGTTTCATATGTTGGTATACATACTGTAGTTTGATATATATATATAACGCTTCATAGAATTATATAGTTACAGTATCCCATACAACAAATTCTTCTCTTGGTTCAAGTGCAAACATTGGTATCGTCACGTATAAACATTGGTATCTTAAGTGCAAACATTGGTACCTTCAAGTGCAAACATTGGTACTGTCAAATGCAAACACTGCTATTTTCAAGTGCAAACACTGGTACCTTCAAGTGCAAACATTGGTATCTTCAAGTGCAAACATTGGTATCTTCAAGTGCAAACATTGGTAAATCAAGTGCAAACACTGGTATATCAAGTGCAAACATTGGTACCTTCAAGTGCAAACACTGGTATCTCCATGTGCAAACATTACAACCCTTGGTAACTTTGTGTAAACACTACAACCACTGGTATCTTCATGTGCAAACTATGCAACCATGGTATCTTCATGTGCAAATTATGCAACCATGGTATCTTCATGTGCAAACTATGCAACCATGGTATCTTCATGTGCAAACTATGCAACCATGGTATCTTCATGTGCAAACTATGCAACCATGGTATCTTCATGTGCAAACTATGCAACCATGGTATCTTCATGTGCAAACTATGCAACCATGGTATCTTCATGTGCAAACTATGCAACCATGGTATCTTCATGTGCAAACTATGCAACCATGGTATCTTCATGTGCAAACTATGCAACCATGGTATCTTCATGTGCAAAGATTGCAACCATGGTATCTACACATGCTCATTTATGCTTGTAAATGAGATTTGCATGTTTGTATATCGACAGTCCAGAAATGTAATTTTTTTTATATAATAATTACCACACAGTATGTGTAAGTTAATAAGAGGTGGAAAATATACCCAGTAGTGAACAATATAAACTGAAGACAAAAATATATTCATGCAGTTATAAGAGAACAGACTACAGAAGAGAATAAAATTAAAAACAAAAGTCAACAATAGTTTAAAAGGACAGACTACAGAAGAAAATAAAATTAAAACCAAAAGCCAACAACAGTTATAAGAGGACAGACTACAGAAGATAATAAATTTAAAAACAAAAGTCAACAATAGTACACACTGCGAGGACAATTTTCATCAGATCCATCAGCGCAGTCTTCTACCCCATCACAACGCTGGTTCACAGTATAACATGAACCATCAGTGCATGTGAACTCAAAAGATGAACAATTTTGGACCATCGAATCCCCTGAAAGTCAGTGTATATGAAAGCTGAGGTAAATCATAGAATTGATGAAGGGAAAAAAGGTGGGTGGTGCCCTGAGGCATTTGTGGAGACAAAGGGAATGTACAGCAATATAGTGGTACCAACACTTTATATGGGTGTGAAACATGGGTTGTAAATGCTGCAGCGTGAAGGAGGCTGGAGACAGTGGAGATGTTGTGTCTATGGGCAATGTGTGGTGTAAATATTATGGAGAGAATTCATAGTGTGGAAATTAGGAGGAGGTGTGGAGTTACTAAAGGTATTATTCAGAGGGTGGAGGAGGGGTTGTTGAAGTGGTTTAGTCATTTAGAGAGGATGGAGCAAAATAGGATGTCTCGGAGAGTGTATAAATTTGTAGTGGAGGGAAGGAGGGGTAGGGGTCGTCCTAGCAAAGAATAGAAGGAGGGGGGTAAAAGAAGCTTTGTGTGCAAGAAGCTTGGGCACAGAGAAGGCATGCATGAGCATGTTAGACAGGAGTGGAGACAAATGGTTTTTGGGACTTTATGAGCTATTGGAGTGTGAGTAGGGTAATATTTTGTGAGGGATTCAGGAAAACCAGTTAGCTGGACTTGGGTCCTGGAGGTGGTAAATACAATAGGGGTTTGGGATGTTGGTTTTTTGGAGTGACATCTAAACTGATGTATCTGAGTGCCTCTGCTAAGACAGTGATTATGTGTGAATGATGTTGGAAGTGTTGAATGACGGTGAAAGTGTTTCTTTTTTGGGTCACCCTGCCTCGGTGGGAGACAGCTGAGATGTTAAAAACAAAAATAAACAGGCTAGCTATCTCCCACTGAGGCAGGGTTACCCAAAAAAAGAAAAAAACACTTTCACCATCATTCACACATAATCACTTCTTTGTAGAGGCGTGCAGATATGACAGTTTAAATGTCCCTTGAAACAGCAAATACAGTTGTCCCCCCCATATCCGCTGGGGATATGTTCCAAGAATACCATGGATATCTGAAACCACAGATAGTAGCAAACCCTATACATAAGTCGTTTTTCATTTACATTCATACTTATGATAAAGTTTAATTGGTAAATCATGTACATGAAGTCGAGAATTAGCACTTTTTCAGTGATGGGAAGCAGTTCATGACTTCTCTTAAGCTTCGAAGAATTTCCAGCAAAATTAAGGGTTTTTTTGGGTCACAGTAAACAGTGGATAATTGAAACAGCACAAACCAAATCTGTGGATACAGGGGTCTCTCTGTATCCCAAATCCCCTCTTTAGAGTGCAGGCATTGTACTTCCCACCTCCAGGACTCAATAGCAATAACAAAACTTACTGTGAATTTTGTCTGAAACATTTAATCAAGATTCAGAGATTTTTTTTTTTTTTCAACAAGGCGGCGGTCTCCCACCGAGGCAGGGTGACCCAAAAAGAAAGAAAATCCCCAAAAAGAAAATACTTTCACCATTCAACATTTTCACCTCACTCACACATAATCACTGTTTTTGCAGAGGTGCTCAGAACACAACAGTTTAGAAGCATATACGTATAAAGATACACAACATATCCCTCCAAACTGCTAATATCCCAAAACCCTCCTTTAGAGTGCAGGCACTGTACTTCCCATTTCCAGGACTCAAGTCCAACTATATAATATATACTAAAAAATATTTACTAGCTTTAGCAAAGCTATGTAATACACCTTATATTCTGAAAACATACTTATGCAAGGCATACTTGTTTTCAATCAATAAGTTCAATATAAAACTAGTCAGTGAAATGTAATATGATAGTAGATAACTCTTTCAACAATGAGTCAAAAATATAAACTTAATTAATAATTATAATATAACAATTTAAATAAATGTAAATGACATGCAAGAACACACACCACAATTTTCAACACTTTCATCGGAACCATCGAAGCAGTCTCTTCGTCGATCACACACAGCTCTTGATGAAATACATTCTCCAGATAAGCAGAGGAACTCATTTGAAGTACATCGAGCTGGGGATCAGGAAATAAATTCTTATAAAGTCAAGCTAGATAATGTTATGAGACTATTAAGAGATGCTTGGGTGTTCATGGAGAGAATATTAAGAGATGCTTGGGTGATCATGGAGAATGCTAAAAAGAAAATAATTTATATTTTGCTACGTCAAGATCAGATTGGCGAAATTCAAGTACATGTTAATAGTTAAAGGCACTAAGCTCATAGTATCCTATCTTATTTATAATAAATGTTTAATTTTCCAGTGACTGCAGAGTATACTACCTCTTCCTGAAGTCTATAAAGACTTATTTACTAGATTTCAATAAATTGCAGTACTGTAAACATTTTACTTTTGCCTTATCTATACCACCCTATTTATATAAAAGTTTTAAATTGTGGTATGTTCTTAAGTTTCTTAAAAGTCCCATTTCTTAACTTTGAAATAAATTTTGTTACATGCCTTTGAATTCTGCACTATTAATGAGAAAGCATTAGACTTGTTAAAGTTATACAGCATTGAAATTTTGACACCTAAGTAAATATTCTTTCCATTTAAAATAAAGAAAAGACAGAGCTCATCATTTAAGGAGCGTATAGGCAAGCCTCGATATAAGCAGCCAATTATAAGTTGTTCCTTTGAACCTGAGACAATGTATTATTTCACATTTCCAAATACTGCACTTAAAATAACTTTAAAGTTGTTCAATCCCTAAAAAAATTTAAAAGACTCCAGCATTTCCTCATAAAGCCTTGTCATGCGTAATTTTTACATATATTTTTTGAGTATTATATGCATATATATTACATTATTATACAGGAAAGGAGATCTATAAGAGTTCTAATAGTGTATAATTAGAGGTACAGAACTGATTTTATGGCACCCTTGGTTTCTAGGCTTTGCAAGTATATTAATTTTGCTGGACCAACAGAAGTCACATAATAATAATTCAACAACACACCTCTGGCCCACCATGGTCTGCTGGAAAATTAAATATTAGAATAAATGGAGCATGGGGAAGTGGAACAGAATTCTTCCTCCATAAGCCATGCGTGTCGTAAGAGGCAACTAAAATGCCGGGAGTAAGGGGCTAGTAACCCCTTCTCCTGTTTATATTACTAAATTTAAAAGGAGGAACTTTCGTTTTTCCTTTTGGGCCGCCCCACCTCGGTGGGATATGGTTGGCACATTGAAAGAAAGAAAGAAGCAGTTTTATTTATTATTGTATTTGGGAAGGATGTTGCAATATCAACACTCCCAAAGTGGCAAATTTTAGAATTTTACTGCAACTGTAGAGCTTATCACAAAGCTCTGGAAGTTGTGGGCTGACAGAATTACTGTCTCTTTCATAATAGATCTGTGAAGTTGAAGCCACAGGATTTTCAGATGAAGGCCTATGGCTATTAGACACATTCTACTTGGCAATCTTTTTATATAGTTCATCAAAGCAAAGTTGTTTCATGTGCTTTGATCTTCTTTCCGTACGTAATTTTTCACGCATCAAATAAAAATTCAGTAGGTCTTCTCTTGCCAGAAAGGAACACTGTTCAGTCCTTATGTTAATTTACCTGACAACTCAATTAACTTGTCAAGAGCCATAGCATATGATAAGGCATTTCTAATGTTATTTCCCAAGCCATAGCTAGTGCACAGTATAGTACTTACCACTCACTGTGCAGCTCATCCTCCAGCTTAAGCAGTGAACATAGGAATGCCAACACTATAAAGCATTACAATATAACACATGCTGACAGACTTTAACAACGTAGTTATATTTATTTTTTGGCGATTAACTATGCGTAAATATAGGTTAACATAATATAGCCCAAAATAACAAAGTATTTAATTTTTGTGGATATTTAGATGAGTAGAAATCAAATAACTGTAATGCATGCGAAAATGTCACGTCATGTACAGAGTGCAGGTTGAACAGTGAAATTTTATATTTACAAATATACATATATGTTACAGAACATTTAAACATCATCTTGGGTACAAAAAGCAAAGGGAACTGGAGAGAACGCAGATTCTACAACAAAAATTGTGACTGACTACATGGTACTCATCATCTTCCTGAGCAACTTCCTATACATACATTGCATGTTTTTTCTCTTGCATTTCAAAATGAAACAGTCGTGTGCCATGTACACTGAACATCTACAGCTGTTTTAGTCACCACTTTCAATTAAAGATGTGTTACTTCAAGGACACTTGTCAACAGAGGTGACTATGCCAGGAAGGGGGCCACACGATGAGAGGTGACATGAGGACTTGAGAAGTGGTGTTCAAATCAAGACACATGAAAAACCTTTAAGATTCAGACAACATGAAAATGCAAGTATTTCAAATTATTTATAATGGTAATTACAACACTATATATATCAAGCATCTACAACCTGCAAAGAGACCGAGAGAAGAGAGAGTAAGCAGTCAGTTGTACAAGACCTACTAGCTCCATTCGAACTTCCACCCAGTTTTTCAAACTAAAAACAGAACAGGTTACTCCTGAGCTCCATCAAGATATCTGTGAACTAGACCTGAACTAGACTTAGTATCCACTCTAGTTCCCTTTCCATCAAATAACTAGACCAAGATAAACTGATAATTTTAAGCTCATCTTGTTATAGTACTCAGGAAGTAGTGTAAGCTTGTCAAAGTAATGTAAGAAGTGTGTACTAATACTATAATGTCTGAATACTCTATATAGAGTACATAATTGGGATGCCCCAAAATTTGCAATATATCAGATTTGGGATCTAACAGACTGACTTATCTCAAATTTGTCAGAATGAGGTAATTATTTCACCGGCTATACAAGGTAACTGTAGATTATAGTTTACAATACTAAGAAGGATAACTATTTTTATTATATGAAACAACATGACACAATGGATGAATGTCACTACCTTATAAGCATTCTGTATATTTAGATCAACATTATATCCAATTACCACTACAATAAATTGTAAAAAAATTTTACTATACAGGAAGAACCTCTATCTGCAAATGTCTGAAGAGAAAACTGGATTAACCAATTAAAAACTTGCAAATAAAATGTAATAAAATAAACTGCCCCCTTACATGGGTAGAGAATATGGAAGAATGAATTACAAGAGAATATGGTTCATGGAATATAACAGCATGATGACTGCATTTCCTTAAGGTGAACATCTGCTGACCTGCATAACATATGAAAAGAGTATATTATATTAGCAACCAAGTGCAGTGATTACATGGACCGAACCTGAGGTCTCGGGGATATATATCAAGGTGGAGGTAGTACTGGAGGTGCTGATGGAGGGACAAAAATCCTCATCTTGACCTTCTTCACAGTCATCGTAGCCATCACAAAGACGAGAGTGATCAATACATTCACCGGTGCTGCACCGGAACTGACCATCGTAGCAAGGCTTGGAGGAATCTGGGATCCAGTAATGTGTGAGGTGTAGTGCGAGGACAATGAGTTTAAGAGAGCAGCATTAAGTCTGCAAATGCTACACTAATGTGAGGAGTTGAATTTTAAATATGTATACAGAGCAAGCTTTTAAGAAAGGTTTTTAAGGAGGTAAGTTATTTACAAGTTACAGGACAGACTGACACTAAGCAACACACCTGGGCAGTCTCTCTCATCAGAACCATCAGAGCACTCCCGCACACCATTACATACTTCGGTGCGGAAAATACACTCTCCGGTTTCACACTGCCACTGAACACTTCCGCAGTCTGTGAAACATTTTTTTGTCTTACGTACCAACTGGGTTGCATTGTAGAAAACTTGTAAAGTTTAACAAAAGACTGAAAAAATAATATGCTACTGCACTGTAATGAAAAATTAAATTAAGTGAATATATTTAACAATTCGTAAATTATCCCACAGTCTAAGACAACGCAAAATACTGTTTATAAAAGTAGACATTTGCATATATAATGCACTGGTGAATTCCAAATAAAAGCTGTGTAATGCTTTAAAATAAAATAAAGGCTCATTTAAATTTCCTACATATATGATCCAGTGGAGTCAGATGAAGCACTTCTGCATACCTGTCTTCAGTACAGTACTGGGTAACTACTGTGATGGAAACTTTTAAGATTAATTTGTAATAAATTTAACCAATATGAAATCCACTAAAAAAGACCAATGCTATGCATCATGGTGTAGATAAAGAATGTCAACATCTAGTTTCTAAGATCCACTAATGTCAGATGGAATATGCAATAACTTCTTTAAAATTCCAAGTCTTGCTAACAAAATGTATTAGGCCCTCCTCTCCCCACAGGCAAAAAATGATGTCAGTAGAATAAGTTGAATCTGCAGTCAAAAAGAGAACTGTAAAATAAAATGTGATTACAATAAAAAATACTACAATGATTAATACATATTAAAAACAAGAAACACATACATTCAAAGCTATATTATAAATCCACCATTTTTATGAAATTTAACAGGATTTTTTTTTTTTTTCAACAAGTCGGCCGTCTCCCACCGAGGCAGGGTGACCCAAAAAAGAAAGAAAATCCAAAAAAAGAAAATACTTTCATCATCATTCAACACTTTCACCACACTCACACATTATCACTGTTTTTGCAGAGGTGCTCAGAATACAACAGTTTAGAAGCATATACGTATAAAGATACACAACTTATCCCTCCAAACTGCCAATATCCCAAACCCCTCCTTTAAAGTGCAGGCATTGTACTTCCTATTTCCAGGACTCAAGTTCGACTATATGAAAATAACCGGTTTCCCTGAATCCCTTCACTAAATATTACCCTGCTCATACTCCAACAGATCATCAGGTCCCAAGTATCATTCGTCTCCATTCACTCCTATCTAACACACTCACGCACGCTTGCTGGAAGTCCAAGCCCCTCGCCCACAAAACCTCCTTTACCCCCTCTTTCCAATCCTTTCGAGGACGACCCCTACCCCTCCTTCCTTCCCCTATAGATTTATACGCTCTCCATGTCATTCTACTTTGATTGATTCTCTCTAAATGACCAAACCACCTCAACAACCCCTCTTCTGCCCTCTGACTAATGCTTTTATTAACTCCACACCTTCTCCTAATTTCCACACTCCGAATTTTCTGCATAATATTTACACCACACATTGCCCTTAGACAGGACATCTCCACTGCCTCCAACCGTCTCCTCGCTGCTGCATTTACCACCCAAGCTTCACATCCATATAAGAGTGTTGGTACTACTATACTTTCATACATTCCCTTCTTTGCCTCCATAGATAACGTTTTTTGACTCCACATATACCTCAACGCACCACTCACCTTTTTTCCCTCATCAATTCTATGATTACCCTCATCCTTCATAAATCCATCCGCCGACACGTCAACTCCCAAGTAATCTGAAAACATTCACTTCTTCCATACTCCTCCTCTCCAATTTGATATCCAATTTTTCTTTATCTAAATCATTTGATACCCTCATCACCTTACTCTTTTCTATGTTCACTTTCAACTTTCTACCTTTACACACATTCTCAAACTCATCCACTAACCTTTGCAATTTTTCTTTAGAATCTCCCATAAGCACAGTATCATCAGCAAAAAGTAACTGTGTCAATTCCCATTTTGAATTTGATTCCCCATAATTTAACCCCACCCCTCTCCCGAACACCCTACCATTTACTTCTTTTACAACCCCATCTATAAATATATTAAACAACCATGGTGACATTACACATCCCTGTCTAAGACCTACTTTTACCAGGAAGTATTCTCCCTCTCTTCTACACACCCTAACCTGAGCCTCACTATCCTCATAAAAACTCTTAACAGCATTTAGTAACTTACCACCTATTGCATATACTTGCAACATCTGCCACATTGCTTCTCTATCCACTCTATCATATGCCTTTTCTAAATCCATAAATGCAATAAAAACTTCCCTACCTTTATCTAAATACTGTTCACATATATGCTTCAATGTAAACACCTGAGCTACACATCCCCTACCCACCCTGAAGCCTCCTTGCTCATCCGCAATCCTACATTCTGTCTTACCTCTAATTCTTTCAATTATAACCCTACCGTACACTTTTCCTGGTATACTCAGTAAACTTATTCCTCTATCATTTTTACAATCTCTTTTGTCCCCCTTCCCTTCATATAAAGGGACTATACATGCTCTCTGCCAATCCCTAGGTACCTTCCCCTCTTTCATACATTTATTAAACAAAAGTATACAAAGGTATACCTCCCTGACCAGTGCATGAAATTACTGCCTCTGTTTCTTCCTTAACATTTAAAAGTTCCTCAAAATATTCTCGCCATCTACCCAATACCTCCATCTCCCCATCTACTAACTCCCCTACTCTGTTTTTAACTGACAAATCCATATTTTCCCTAGGCTTTCTTAACTTGTTAAACTCACTCCAAAATTTTTTCTTATTTTCATTAAAATTTCTTGACAGTGCCTCTCCCACTCTATCATCTGCTCTCCTTTTGCACTCTCTCACCACTCTCTTTACCTTTCTTTTACTCTCCATATACTCTGCTCTTCTTATAACACTTCTGCTTTGTAAAAACCTCTCATAAGCTACCTTTTTCTCTTTTATCACACCCTTTACTTCATCATTCCAACAATCACTCCTCTTTCCTCCTGCCCCCACCCTCCTATAACCACAAACTTCTGCCCCACATTCTAATACTGCATTTTTAAAACTATTCCAACCCTCTTCAACCCCCCCACTACTCATCTTTGCACTAGCCCACCTTTCTGCCAAATAGTCGCTTATATCTCACCCGAACTTCCTCCTCCCTTAGTTTATACACTTTCACTCCCTCTTACTTGTTGTTGCCACCTTCCTCTTTTCCCATCTACCTCTTACTCTAACTGTAGCTACAACTAAATAATGATCCGATATATCAGTTGCCCCTCTATAAACATGTACATCCTGGAGCCTACCCATCAACCTTTTATCCACCAATACATAATCTAATAAACTACTTTCATTACGTGCTACATCATACCTTGTATATTTATTTATCCTCTTTTTCATAAAATATGTATTACTTATTACCAAATTTCTTTCTACACATAGCTCAATTAAAGGCTCCCCATTTACATTTACCCCTGGCACCCAAATTTACCTACTACTCCCTCCATAACATTTTTACCCACTTTAGCATTAAAATCCCCAACCACCATTACTCTCACACTTGATTCAAAACTCCCCATGCATTCACTCAACATTTCCCAAAATCTCTCTCTCTCCTCTACACTTCTCTCTTCTCCAGGTGCATACACGCTTATTATAACCCACTTTTCACATCCAATCTTTATTTTACTCCACATAATCCTTGAATTAATACATTTATAGTCCCTCTTTTCCTGCCATAGCTTATCCTTCAACATTATTGCTACTCCTTCTTTAGCTCTAACTCTATTTGAAACCCCTGACCTAATCCCATTTATTCCTCTCCACTGAAACTCTCCCACCCCCTTCAGCTTTGTTTCACTTAAAGCCAGGACATCTAGCTTCTTCTCATTCATAACATCCACAATCATCTCTTTCTTATCATCTGCACAACATCCACGCACATTCAGACTTCCCACTTTGACAATTTTCTTCTTCTTATTCTTTTTAGTAATCTTTACAGGAAAAGGGGTTACTAGCCCATTGTTCCCGGCATTTTATTATTATTATTATTATTATTACTAATTTAGGGAACTGGAGCACAGATCCAGTTCCCTAGACCAAGAGCCCCTCACCAGCATCAAGGAACCTCCCTTGAGGGGGTAAGCTCACATTCTGAATTTTTGCTTGTATCCAGAAGCAAAAAATTGACCAAGCGATTGCTCATGTCCTGAAAAACTCGTATGGTGGGGCACTCGTAAGCTGACGTTCCACTGTACTAGGATTAGTGTGCCAGGATTAGTGCCCCAACATGATAGTGGCTTTCTTTGTACTTGGCAAACCAAAATTGTAATTACACATTATGACCTTTACAAAGAAACAAAATCTTTATTCTTTTATTCTTTATTCCTTTAAAGTGCAGGCACTGCCCTTCCCACTTCTAGGACTCAGGTTCATTTAACCAGTTTCCCTAAATCCCTACATAAAAATTTTCTTGCTTACACTCCAACAGCACGTCTATTACAAACCACTTGTCTTCATTCAATCCTGTCTCTTGAAAAGTAGAGCTGAATGACTCGCATGGGTTTTGAGTTTTTCAATAATAATAATAATTATATTACTAAAAGTTCTAGGTAGTAGGTTGGTAAACAGCAACCACCCAGGGAGGTACTACCATCCTGCCAAGTGAGTGTACAACGAAAGCCTGTAATTGTTTTACATGATGGTAGGATTGCTGGTGTCTTTTGTCTGTCTCATAAACATGCAAGATTTCAGGTATGTCTTGCTACTTCTACTTGCATTTAGGTCACACTACACATACATGTACAAGCATATATATACACACACACACCCCTCTGGGTTTTCTTCTATTTTCTTTCTAGTTCTTGTTCTTGTTTATTTCCTCTTACCTCCATGGGGAAGTGGAACAGAATTCTTCCTCCGTAAGCCATGCGTGTTGTAAGAGGCGACTAAAATGCCGGGAGCAAGGGGCTAGTAACCCCTTCTCCTGTATATATTACTAAATTTAAAAAGAGAAACTTTAGTTTTTTCTTTTGGGCCACCCCGCCTCAGTGGGATACGGCTGGTATGTTGAAAGAAAGAAGAAGAAGAATTACTAAAAGTATGCATGCACATACATACAGAAAAATTAAATAATTATATTGCAATTATATACAAAATAAAATATATTTATTAACCCTTAAACTGTTGGTGGTCATGCATTGTTAATTACTCTCTCTCTCTGTGGGGAAATTTAAAAAAATTAATTTGTAAACAGAGCATATTTGCAGAAACAGAGGTACACCTAGTACAGGTGTTTCCTGCCAACAATATCCATTGGAATTCACTAGGAGTAAAGGTCATTTTTTGATACACTAATGTATACATGTGCTAAACAATGTTATCCATGATGTACTGCATGGACCCATATGGGTCTACATTTCTTCCTAGATCTGAGGTGCCAGTAGGCAACTCAGTCAGTTGAACTGAAGTTTAAAGCTGCGGTATGCAGCACATTTGAGCGCACAAAAATTACTTGTAATTATATATGTCGTACATAGTTTAGTCTCCTGTGTAAAGTTACCTCTCACACAGTTTAAGAGTTAATTATAGAAGCAATTATACAACCATACTTACTGCAATTTTGTTCATCAGAATTATCATCACATTCTGCATAACCATTACAACGCTGACTACTTGGAATACAAGCACCATTACCACACTGGAATTCATCCTGTCTACAATCTGAGGACAAGGGAAAATAATTCATTACACTAAAATGGAATTATGTAAGTACATTATACCCTCTTATACAAAGACACTACATAAAGTAGTATTGTCTAGACATGATTGAAAAAATGCATCACTTATTTTGTCATTCTCTGTAATTATAGAACCATCAATTTTTGCACAAAATCTTGGTAGTCTGATCTGTGTATTTTTTCCATTTATACCAAAGTTAGGCTAAAGAGAGTGTTTGAAGAGGCATAGCTCCTTCTCTCATCCATGCTGTGTACAGTTGCTCTCTGGAAGAATTGTGTACCTTACTCAGTGTGTATTTATCAAATGATTTGGGATTTTTTTCATCATCCCATTGTCTCTGGATATAAATATAGCACCCAGAAGAATACTAGTAATGCTGCAGGTGCCAAAAAGAAAATTCATCACACATCTCTGATGGTACTGAACAAAGCCAGCACTTTTGGTCACAAAAAAATCATCATTTGTACAATTAGAGACAATGAGAAGAAAATAAGAGCTTGTGCAATAAGGTCAGTATTTGAGGGAACAACAGACCAGAGATACATTATAGAATACTTGAGTACACAACTTGAACCATCAAGAGCTAATAACTTTGCATCCACATCAACACAGGAACTACAGTCATCCACAGACCAGAAGGGCCACATCAACCCTCTTGTAATCCTACTTTTTCACATATTCTTCACTTCACAAGAAGCTATTTCCCACAAGATGCCAATTTTCAGGAATGAATTCCCTACATATGAGAGTATTTACAGTACATATTAAAAATAGAGGTAAGACAGAACGTAGGACTGCGGATGAGCAAGGAGGTGTCAGAGTGGGTAGGGGATGTGTAGATCAAGTGTTTACATAGAGGCATATATATGAACATTATTTAGATAAAGGTAGGGAAGTTTTTATTGCATTTATGGATTTAGAAAATGCATATGATAGAGTGGATAGGGGAGCAATGTGGGAGATGTTGCAAGTATATATGGAATAGGTGGTAAGTTACTAAATGCTGTAAAGAGTTTTTATGAGGATAGTGAGGCTCAGGTTAGGGTGTGTAGGAGAGAGGGAGACTACTTCCCAGTAAAAGTAGGTCTTAGACAGGGATGTGTAATGTCACCATGGTTGTTTAATATATTTATAGATGGGGTTGTAAAAGAAGTAAATGCTAGGCTGTTTGGGAGAGGGGTGGGATTAAATTATGGGGAATCAAATACAAAATGGGAATTGACACAGTTGCTTTTTGCTGATGATACTGTGCTCATGGGAGATTCTAAAGAAAAATTGCAAAGGTTAGTAGATAAGTTTGAGAGTGTGTGTAAAGGTAGAGAGTTGAAAGTGAACATAGAAAAGAGTAAGGTGATGAGGGTATCAAATGATTTAGATAAAGAAAAATTGGATATCAAATTGGGGAGGAGGAGTATGGAAGAAGTGAATGTTTTCAGATACGTGAGAGTTGACGTGTCGGCGGATGGATTTATGAAGGATGAGGTTAATCAGAGAATTGATGAGGGAAAAAAGGTTAGTGAAGCATTGAGGTATATTTGTAGACAAAAAACATTATCTATGGAGGCAAAGAAGGGAATATATGAAAGTATAGTAGTACCAACACTCTTATATGGGTGTGAAGCTTGGGTTGTGAATGCAGCAGTGAGGAGGAGGTTGGAGGCAGTGGAGATGACCTGTCTAAGGGCAATGTGCGGTGTAAATATTATGCAGAAAATTTGGAGTGTGGAAATTAGGAGAAGGTGTGGAGTTAATAAAAGTATTAGTCAGAGGGCTGAAGAGGGGTTGTTGAGGTGGTTTGGTCATTTAGAGAGAATGGATCAAAGTAGAATGACATGGAGAGTGTATAAATCTGTAGGGGATGGAAGGCGGGGTAGGGGTCGTCCTCAAAAAGGATGGAGGGAGGGAATAAGGGAGGTTTTGTGGGCAAGGGACCTGGACTTCCAGCAAGCGTGCGTGAGCGTGTTAGACAGGAGTGAATGGAGATGAATGGTATTTGGGACCTGACGACCTTTTGGAGTGTGAGCAAGGTAATATTTAGTGAAGGGATTCAGGGAAACCGGTTATTTTTATATAGCCGGACTTGAGTCCTGGAAATGGGAAGTACAATTCCTGCACTCCAAAGGAGGGGTTCGGAATATTGGCAGTTAGGAAGGATATGTTGTGTATCTTTATAGGTATATGCTTCTAAGCTGTTGTGTTCTGAGCACCTCTGCAAAAACAGTGATTATGTGTGAGTGAATTGAAAGTGTTGAATGATGATAAAAGTATTTTCTTTATGGGGATTTTCTTTCTTTTTTTGGGTCACCCTGCCTCGGTGGGAGACGGCAGACTTGTTAAAAAAAATATATATATATTAAAAGAAGAAGAAAATTGTCAAAGTGGGATGTCTGAATGTGCGTGGATGTTCTGTGAATGATAAGAAAGAGATGATTGTGGATGCTATGAATGAGAAGAAGCTGGATGTCGTGGCTTTAAGCGAAACAAAGCTGAAGGGGGTGGGAGAGTTTCAGTGAAGACAAGTAAATGAGATTAGGTTTCAAACAGAGTTAGAGATAAAGGAGTAGTAGCAATGTTGAAGGATAAGCTATGGCAGGAAAAGAGGGACTATAAATGTATTAATTCAAGGATTATGTGGAGTAAAATAAAGGTTGGATGTGAAAAGTGGGTTATAATAAGCATATATGCACGTGGAAAAGAGAGAAGCGAGGAGGAGAGAGAAAGAAGTTTTGGGAAATGTTGAGCGAGTGTGTGGGGACTTTTGAACCAAGTGTGAGAGAATTTGTGGTTGGAGATTTCAATGCTAAAGTGGGTAAAAATATTGTGAAGGGAGTAGCAGGTAAATTTGGGGTGCCAGGGGTAAATGAAAATAAGGAGCCCTTAATTGAGCTAGGTGTAGAAAGAGGTTTGGTAATAAGAAATACATATTTTATGAAAAAGAGGATAAATAAATATATAAGGTATGATATAGCACGTAATGAAAGTAGATAAATTAGACACATGTACAACTCTTAGTGAACAGTATTTAGATAAAAGTAAGGAAGTTTTCATTGCATTTATGGATTTAGAAAAGGCATATGATAGAGTGGATAGAGGAGCCATGTGGCAGATGTTGCAAGTATGTGGAACAGGCAGTAAATTACTAAATGTTGTAAAGAGTTTTTATGAGGATAGTGAGGCTAGGTTTGGGTGTGTAGAAGAGAGGGAGACTACTTCCCGGTAAAGGTGGGTCTCAGACAGGGATGTGTAATGTCACCATGGTTGTTTAATATATTTATAGATAGGGTTGTAAAAGAAGTAAATGCTTGGATGTTGGGGAGAGGGGTGGGATTAAATTATGGGGAGTCAAATACAAAACGAGAATTGACACAGTTACTTTTTGCTGAAGATACTGTGCTTATGGGAGAGTCTAAAGAAAAGTTTCAAAGGTCAGTGGATGAGTTTGGGAAAGTGTGTAATGGTAGAAAATTGAAAGATAACATAGAAAAGAATAAGGTGATGAGGGTATCAAATGATTTAGATAAAGAAAAATTGGATATCAAATTGGAGAGGAGGGGTTTAGAAGAAGTGAGTGTTTTTAGATATCTGGGAGTTGACGTGTCAGCGGATGGATGGATGAAGGATGAGGTTAACCACAGAACTGATTAAGGAAAAAAGGTGAGCGGTGCATTGAGGTACTGTATATGTGGAGACAAAACAAACATTATCTATGGAGGTAAAGAAGAGAATGTATGGAAGTACAGAGGTACTAACACTCTTACATGGATGTGAAGCTTGGGTTGCAAATGCAGCAGCGAAGAGGCGGTTGGAGGCAGTGCAGATGTCCTGTCTAAGGGCAATGTGTGGTGTAAATATTATGTAGAGAATTCAGAATGTGGAAATTAGGAGAAGGTGTGTAGTAATAAAAGTATTAGTCAGAGGGCTGATGAGGGGTTGTTGAGGCAGTTTGGTCATTTAGAGAGAATGGATCAAAGCAGAATGACATGGAGAGCGTATAAATCTGTAGGGAAAGGAAGGCGGGGTAGGAGTCATTCTCAAAAAGGTTAGAGGGGGGGGTAAAGGAGGTTTAGTGGGTGAAGGGCTTGGACTTCCAGCAAACATGTGTGAGCGTGTTAGATAGGAGTTAATGGAGACGAATGGTATTTGGGACCTGACGAGCTGTTGGAGTGTGAGCAGGGTAATATTTAGTGAAGGGATTCAGGGAAACCGGTTATTTTTATATAGCCCAACTTGAGTACAGGTCCTCCATCACAAATCCGGCATCATTGGTACCTGTTGTGTGCTGGATTACTGAGTTTACCGGATTACAGAGTGGTTAGGCTAGAATACACTTAATATAATTAACCAACTTCACTTACACAAAGTTCATTGAACATCAGCAAAAATTGAACATTTCCGCTACTTTGAGCTCAATTTCAAGGTACTTTTCATCATGAAAGCAATCAAAATCCTGTCTATTTCTGTAATATATCTTCCATTCTATCAAATGAGTCTAAAAGAAATGAGAATACAACCATAAAAACCATAAGAAAATATACTGCAAAGAGGCGGCTAATGGCTGAGAAGTGAACTCCCTTATTTATTGTCCGGCTTTTTTATTTTTGGTGTACGTTAAGAAGCGTCTTTCCATCATACACTGCCTAAGTTTCAATGAGATAGCCCAACAAACAAACGAGAAAAAAAAATATTTACCAAAAATCATACATGTGAAGCCCAAGCCAGGTACTGGAAATAAGTCACTTTGTCTGACTTTTTTGGGTTATCCTAGGTTCTGTATACATATGATGCTATGTATGATAATCTTATGTAACTGTATTTGTGTATACCTGAATAAACTTATTTACTTCTAGTCTGTCAACTGAGTAGTACAAGACACTGCCCATTCACTTATTTCAACTACCCAATAAAGTGGTCAGAAATTGACAATTTGGCCGATTTCACACAAATTTCAACAGATGCCAATTTCAAAATAGGGTCCAGAATAA